AATGTTATTGTTTCTGTTTTGCAATTTTAGCATCCAACCACATCAATGTTACCTGTATCAGCTCAACTCTATAGCCTCGATCTCTGAGTCATTTCAAGGCCCGACACTTTAATATATCAGTGTCCTCAAGGTTTTGTCTTTACAATTTTCGCAGTTATTTTTAGGCATAATTTATAAACTCGTTCAGGTTTTGATTAAATATAAATAAGCATGTTGTAACTCATGTGTCTGTGCACTTTTTCTGTAATAAAAGGATTAAACTTCATCAGATGAGTGCCTAAAGAGAGCTATGATTGTATTAATGTAAAACAGCTGTGATTACATTTCCCTCAACAGATATTTGCTGTTTTAGTTCAGGTATATAGAAATAGAATTTCTAACAACCAGGGTTGTTATACAGGCCTTGACCCGAATCGTAATTAAATACCGGCTGGAAATTGCCAGTGCACAAATGAATCAAATTATATTCATTGAGCCACTCAAAGTACACCAAACATATGATGGTTTATTTAACACTAGCATATGTCTGGTGTTAAATACCAGTAACTGTCGTTTAGTGCGATTTCATGTCCTCGCGATTTAAACATCATCACAGATTCTTTTTTAAATTTGGCTCAAACGTTTGCTTGAGTAAACTGACTGTCAGTGAAAGTTCCAAATTTACACTGACCTCATAAAATTTAATAGAAAGTATTAGCATTAGTGCATATGTGGACAGATGTGGATATTAACTGCAACTGTATTAAGACAAATATGGGATGAACTGAAGCATTTGAAGTGAGTTGCATCTGGATTCAAAGTTAGAATGTGGTGTGTCCTACCTCTATGAGCTGCTGCTTCTGCTTTTGGTTTTATGCAGATGGGGAAAAAAGTGGATTCAGAATGTGCTGGGTAACTGGAAATTTCAGCTGTATTGCAACAGATCAACAAGAAGTTATATTTCAAAAAGAGCGGTAACACAGCAATAACCTTTCTTGTTCTTTAGCGGTCTCTCTGGGTTGCAAAGGAAACTTTGTAGAACTTCCACTTCAGACTACAATGAGAGTCAAGAGCACTTAAAGAGGTCTTTACAGGCCAGCGTTTATATGTAGTTCAATAGTATAGCGTAGTGTGTTTATGTGCCCCTGAATGTACTAAAACATGTATACCAAAGCTTCACTGAAACACACAGCAGAAATACCTGATAACAAACTGTTTTAAGTATAATCCATGTTTTAGCTGTCATGAGACGTGGTGACATTCCTCGGAGGCTTATATTGATGTGATAGCCTCTCACAGTTGTTGCAGTTTTGTCGACTTCACATCCATGATGCAAATATCCGGTTCCACCACATCCCAAAGGTGCTCTGTTGGATTGAGATCGGGTGATTGTGGCAGCCATTTGATTACAATAAACTCTCATGTGCAAGAAACCAGTTTGCACTCGGTTTGGTCTTCTGCTGTTGTAGCCCATCTGTTTAAAGGTTTGATGCGTTGATGTGTTCAGAACTCCTCTTTTGCATACCTTGGTTATAACAAGGGGGCATTTGAGTTACTATCGCCCTCCTGGCCTCCTCTGACCTCTGGCATCAAAAGGCAACCGGGGTATTTTCTGTTTTTCACACCATTCTCTGCAAACCTCAGAGACACTTGTTGATCTACTGGGATTTTCCTGCATTGTTCCTGAAATACTCAGACCAGCCCATCTTACAACAACAACCATGCCACATTCAAGTCACTCAAATCACCTTTTTCTCTGAACACTCCCCCATTTCAACATCGGCAGGTCATCTTGAAGATGTCTTCACACCTAAATATATTAAGTTGTTGGCAAGCGACTGACTGAGATGTTTGTTTGATTAGATGTTTGCTTGAAG